ATCAAGAACATATTGAAAGGTTTTGCGGAAGTTTCTATGGTTAAATTCCATAAGGTACATAGTCCAGTGGCATGGGTTGTAACTATTTGAAAGTTTTATAGCCTTTAGAAATCATTGAAGTTTTGTGGTTAGAGAGCTTGGATTGCTCTAAAATTTGGATGGTTGACTTTAAGGACATGTATAATTAATATGCAATTAAAAAATTATGATTCCAAGGTCATTTAGTTTGTTTTTGAGGTATTAAAATCACTTAAAATGGGTTATGGGACAAGGGATTTTGGCTTTGACTTTTTGTTTATAATTTTTTATTTGGTTTTGGATTTTGCTCAGTCAACCTCATATAAAAATGAGGTAAAAGAAGGGACCCTCAATATCTATAGTAGAATGAATTTATACTGCATATATTGTTGTTAACTGATTTGATGGATCAGATTTGGGATCAAAACTATAAGGAGAGGAATCACTTAACCTCAAGTTTAAAGGATGCTAATAGGAGACTTATACCTAATAAATAGATTTCTTTTGAATTTGATATTTACCTCTAGATCTAAGGAGGGAAGCATAGAGCTCACACCAAACCTAAAGATGCTAAAGAGGTGACTAGGCTATGAAGTAGCCTAACATGCTTAAATCCAACACCAGCTAGCCAAGATCTTAAGAGAAAGGAAGCTCAGGGACTCACACCTATTCATAAAGGATTATAATTACTTTTCTTTGGTTTTTCTTTAAGTATTAAGATAGGAAGGACAGGGTCTCCCACCAAGCTATGAGGGGCCCAGCATGCATAAATCTCACACCAGCTAGCCGATATCATAAGATATAGGAAGCTTAGGGACTCACACCTATTCCTAAAGGATCAAGATATTTTGATTTAGTTTTAATGCTAAGATAGTGCCATAGAGAGCTTTCATCATCATTATCAAGTTTAGTCTTAAGCAAAGGAAGTATCAAGACTCGCATATATCCTTACAAAACCAGAAGAATTTGTTTTTTATACTAGAGCGATGATGCACAGGGCTTGCTCCACTACTAGTGGATTTAATCCTAGGGAAATAAAGCACGGGGACTCACACCTATCCTTAAGGATTAGAAGATTTTGGTTTTCAAATTTAGAATTCAAGTAATTGGATTTTATAAGATTTCAAACTAATTTTTTTTCATTAATTTTAGATTTGAAGTACGTCAAGCATAATATTTCTTAAGAAAATGCCCATTAACTAATAGCATTGTGTGGTGTCCTTTACAATCCATTAACTAGTAGGAACCTCCTTTATAGACTATTTCTACGATAAAAGGTCCCTCCCATTTTAGTTTAGACTTTATACATATCTTTTGGTGGGCTAAGATAAGCCTCTGAAGAACCAAGACCAAGTCTTATACTTGGAAAGTTTTAGGCAGCACTAACTTATCATAAGCTTGAACTATTCATGATTTATATAGCCCAAGATTCTGCTGAGCTTGGAGAAGGCACTCTTCAAGGCTTTCAAGCTCCTCCAACTGAAGTTGCATATATTATTTAGTTATAATTTGATTTTGTATGGTGATCATAATTAGAAGGATTTGTACTTCCAAAGGTAGCATAGCCTCGGACCCATACACTAATGCAAATGGAGTGGATTGGGTCAGAGTCTTATAAGTGGTCCGATTGGCCCAAAGGTCTTCTACCAATCGCTCATCCCACAAGTATTTATTGTCATCTAAGGTCTTTTTTATGATCTACATCGAAGTTTTGTTAAATGCCTCAGCTAATCAATTAGCTAGTGGGTAATAAATTATTTAATATCTCCAATTAATATAATGGCATGTTGCAAAGTTATTTTTTATAGAATTGAATGCATACCTATTATCATATATAATTTTATGGGGGTATATCAAATCAATATATAATATGATAAAAAAATTATAATATTGTGTAATGTTACTTGTCGTAGAGGAATTACTTCTACCCACTTGGAAAAATAATCAATAACAACTAAAATGAAGTTATGTCCTTTTGAAAAAGGAGGGTTAATGGGCTCGATAGCATATATAACCCAACTTCTGAAGGGGCTTGAAGCTATCGTGGGATGCAAAACATTACGCGATTGATGTAAAACCACACCATGAACCTGGCATTGGTGACAACATCTTATTGCATTCATGCAATAGTCAGTTGTAGAGGGCCAATAATATCCAAGTCTTTTAATTTTCATATTCATCTTAGGACCTGATTGATTAGCACACACAGTTCATTACAGACCTCATTCATGATCTTCATGTCCTCATGCTTGTATAGATAATATAGTAATATTTTATTAAATAATCGATGGTACAGGGTTTCATTCAGGAGTGCATATGAAAGGATATATTTCTTGATTTAATTGACAAATATTTTATCATGAGAAAAATTTCCTTCTTGAAGATAATCAATGAAAGGCTTTCTCCAATTACCTTCTTCATCACTTGTTGAGAGGAAGATAGGATCTCAGAACCCTTCTCCTCCCGAATGGATTAAGGTTAATGTTGAAGCTTCCTTACTGAGTTTGAACAAAGAAAGTATAGGTGGCCTATTTAGAGACTGTAAAGGAAGGTTCTTGTGTGCTTTTGGATTCGGCTGTCTCCATTGAGATTGTGTGCAATTAGACCTCTTATCCATTCTTTCTTTGAGAAATTTTCTTCAAGAATGGATGTTTGAGGCTAAAGGTATCATTATAGAAGGAGATAACTATAATGTTATCAAATTTATTTAAAATTTGCTAAATAAGGAAGAAGTCAAGGAGGATATCTTAAATCCCAAGGATTTCATTTTTCTTAGTGATTTTAATCAAGTTTTATTTATTTTTCTTTAATAGGGATTGTAGTAAGTTAATTTATTTATGTGCTAACTATGCTATTTTTTTAGGTTTTTTTTATGATATTAATTGTAATAATATTCCTCCTTCCTTTATGTCTTTGTTAAAGGAGGAATGTGATTGGAGTCCAACCATGGAGTAGGTTGTAATTAGTTGTTTTTAATAAATTTGCTTAGTGCATTTCTTAAAAAAAAAGATAGGATCTCAAAAGATTTCTTTATTATGTGCTCTAAATTTATATGAGCTAGAACGTGTAGTCCCTTAACTTCTATAGAAATGGAGTCCTATTCTGGATAAATAATTTCCTTTGCAAGCTTTGTTAAGGCATCCACCCTATAATTGATTTCATAGAAATTTCTATATAAAGTTACAACATGAATGTGCTCGAGAAGATGATTTGTATATTGATGGCATTTTAGGAGTTTTGGATTCAAAACCTTATAGGTTCCTACAATCTAGTCGATAACTACTTGGAATCTCTAAAGATTTTTTTTTTCTTTTATATCCATAAATTTTACAATATCCAAACAAATTATTAGAGCTTCATATTCAATCTCATTGTTTGAAAAAATGCTATAATAAATGATATTATAAATGCATCATTTCTTGTTATAGTGCTATAAAAATCAGGCTTTATTGAAGTAACACCAGCAACAAAATTCAAGGGGTTTATTTTGAGGTTGTAGTGACGCAACTGCTCAAAGAAAATTCTTAACTCATACATGCGAGCCTCTTATACTTTGCTTTTGACAACTAAATCATCAATGTAATATTCCACCTTATTATGGATAAGTTCATTGAAAATTTTGTTCATAGCTCATTGATAAGTTGCACCAGCATCTTTCAGATCAAATGACATCACCTTATAATATATGATAATGATAGAAGTTTTGAATATAGTGTTTCTCTTATCTTCTGGGACCATCTTGATTTGATTGTATCCAAATGAGCCATCCATAAAGGAGATACAATATGAGAAGATGCAATATCCACCATGAGTTCAAGTATAGGCAATGAAAACTCATATTTGGAACATGCATTATTTAGATCTCTATAGTCAAAGCAAATTCAGGTTTGACCATTTTCTTTTGAATTGGCATAATGCTGGCCACCCAAGAGGGATATTGTTCCTCTCAAATAAAATTAGCCTCGACAAGTTTCTTGACTTTAGAAATGACTTGTTGTTCGACCGCCATACACATATGTCTACGAGCTTGCATAATTGGAATGACATCAAGTTGGATTCTGAGTTTATAAACTACTACATTTGACGATAAGCCTGACATCTGGTCATATGACTAAGCGAAGCAATTCTTAAACTTAGAAAAGAGTTTTATTAGATCGTTTGATTCATCTTCACTCAACAAAGAGCTAATGAAGGTGGGGCAAGGGTCACCCTTTGTTTCAAGATTAATTTCTTTTAACTCATCAACCATCAATCTAATTTCTTTTTCAAAATTAGGGGGGTGTATCCTTAAATTGAAGTTCATCTAAGTCATCTGATGTTTCCAAACAAAGTCTAATGAGAGAATCAATAGTTTATATGAGGACCCTTTCATCTTGTTTAATTCTCGGGTCAACCTTGATTAAACCATTAAACCTTAAATATCTCTTTTTTTGTTTGACGTTTGGTTTATTTTTCAAAATCTTGCATATTTGTGCAAATGTGCATGCTATGAGACATGTATTCAAAATTCTCATAACATATCAAAATTAATATTTTAATTATTGTGACTAAATTTATAATTTGCTAAAATCAATTAATTTTTTTTATAATTAAGATGTGATAATAATAAAAAAAAAAATTTATTTAAAATTCAAAACATATAGTATATTCAATCTTTTCTCTAACTTGATAAAGAAAAGGAGATTAATATAGATGCCCTAAAATTTTTAAGTATTTATTTATCTATATATAAATATTAGATTTATTATATATCAATTTAGTATCTAAATGCATAAAACTATATATATATATATATATATATATATATATAATATATATACATTATTTTATATGTAATTTTGAAATATATGTGCCATATAAATAAATAGAAAATTTTAAATAAATTTATTTCTAAATAAATAAGAATTTTTTATTTATATTTTTAAAGACAATTTTTTTTACAACTTTTTAAAATAACTTTTTAATACAAAATTTTTATTCCCTCACCGCTCTAGAAACCTGCAATCAAACTCAACAACAAACGAAGGTTAGATTTCCTCACCGCTGTAGCAACTGCAATCAAATCCAACCAAGGCCACCTTGCAGCGTGAAGCTGTTCATTCCCAACTCCATCACATTGAACGGTAGCTTTGGCGATGGCCCGTGGCGGCAGCGGCGGTAGCGGCCACAAAGGAGATGAAAGAACGAAAAATGAAGAGGAGGATGACGAGGAAGATGAGGAGAACGGAGGGAGAGACCTCGAGGCTTGGGAGAGGGCATACGCTGACGAGAGGTCCTGGGAGGATCTACAGGAGGACGAATCAGGGCTCCTCCGTCCCATCGATACCAAGACCATTGCCCACGCCCAATACCGCCGCAGGCTTCTCCAGAGATCAGTCCACGGGACCTCCAGAATCCAGAAGGGTCTCATCCGATATCTTTACGTCGTCATCGATCTCTCCCGGGTAGGGTTTTTATATATTTATTTTGTTTGGGGGGGTTATTTCGACCTACTTTTTTATCGGTTGATCGGAGTGCAGGAAACGTAGTTGCGGAAATGATCAATAATTTTTGGTTGGTTCCCGGTATATTTGGGATGCCAAAGGTGCATATATTCCATGCATTGCATATGATATGGATGGGTACAAAAACAAGAAAGATTTGAAAATTTGTGGCAGAAACAGGGCATGAACAAGCAATGTTTTGAAAAGTGTAGACAGATATAGGGAAATGACAAGCCGCCCAAAGTATTGGTCATTGATAGGGCTGAGACAAGGAAAATAATGTATTTTAGATCTCTTTCGCGAGCTCTGCTCCTTGGTCTATGCTCCTATTATTTGTAAAATAGAATGAAGATGGGAGATTTACATGCATATCACTTTATTTCATGTTATACATATCTAACATTTAAAACTTTAATATTATGTACCTACCACTCATAAAATAAATATGAATGCATAGAATGAAATATTAAAGTTTATAGGGTGGTATGGGTGGTAAGAATGAAATATCAGAGTGATATATTTGATATTAAAATTTTATATGAGTGATATGAATGTAATGTTAAAGTTTTGGGTGTTAGATATGTAAATATCATGAAATAAATAACTATGTATGTAAATCCCCCAACGAAGTTTCCTTGCTTGAAGTATAGGAAAGATTAGTAAAAATAAAGCACAAGTGCCTCCTCTTTTTGTTATCTATGTGGAACCCTATCTTTATCTCTATAAATGAAGATACTTATCAAAGAGTTGGCCTTTAATTTGATTTCACGGACTTGAATCCTATTTATGTGTGTACTTCTTTCAATTTACATGAAAGAACAAATGATTTAATGTCACATAGATTGATGTAAGGGCACACTTTGATAATGAGTTAGTTATTCGTTTCACGCCTTTTTTGTTGCATCTCTCTCTCTCCCTCTCTCCCTCTCTCTCAGATATGGCAGTTTATGTTTGTTTGTTCTATTAGTGAAAATCTATTAGCATGTTTGCTTGGTTTCAAGATGTAGAATTTATGTTAAATCACCACATAGTCAGGCTTGTCATTTTTTACTAAAGGAGCTTGGGGTAGGCCTTGGATCATAATACCTTCAGGATATTTGGAACAAGAATGGAAAGTGGTGTATGGTTTTCTTAATTGGCATTCTCTTGAAAGTTGGATTGAAAATTTACTAATTATATTTTTTGTTACGTAAAGAATACGTGCAATAGTAGAATTGCTATCTCAATATGTTTTATGTTTGTATGTGTATGAGATAGTCTTCTTTCCTTTCAAAAGATGAATTACTATTCTCCCGTGATTGTGCTTCGTCCACAACATCATTTTAACTATTGTAATTTACAATTTCATGCATATTGATGATCATTTGCTCAACCATTTGATGCCTCAACTTTCCTTATGAGTGATTTCATTCTCTTAAAATTTCCATGAGATTGAGTCATCCAAATTCCCTTGAATTCAGTACCTGTTTTGCTCATCATTTGGAGCCTAATAAGTAATTTTGATTGGTTTAATAATGTTTAGATGTGAACAATCATGTGGGCTTATATAATCTGTCTAATTTGGTATCATATTTAGTACATTCTTGATTAACAACTGAATCAGCAAGATCTGATTTAGAAGTAATTATGAAGCTGATAATCAAAATGAAGTTATTTTATACTTGAAATTGGGATATGGGGATCAAATTTAGTTGGTGATTCATCATATTATCTATTAACATAATTTGGCCATTATATCTCTAAAAAGTCACAATTAAAGGCCTGGGATACTATCAAAAATTTAGATTTGTATAATTACTTCTCACTATCCATTCTACCTTTAATCTCTTAGTACACATTTACCTCAACATTGTCAATTTTTTCCTATTTTACCTTTCATCAAATTTTTCTTTCATAACACTTTGATTTTGTTGAACTAGTTTGAGTTTTATAAGTTTTTTATTTTTGCATCCATTGCATTCTCTTATTGCTTTGTCATTGTCCTTAATTATATTCATACGTTTCACACTTAAGTATCACTAAATCTCTTAACATTGTTGGCTTATAATTGTCAATTTTGCATATCCTAAAATTACAAATCGATAATTGTCAATTATACGTATCCTAAAATTACATATCGAAGAATACTTCCTCTTTTTAATACGCCTAAGCTTTCCATCTTCTAAAATCAGTTTTCCATCATTCTAACTTTTCAACTTCTTCAAAAGTGGTATTAATTATCAAAGTTAAGCCATCTGCAAATTTATTGCACTAGCAAATGTCATTTTTAATTTCTTATGGGATAATCTTTATAACCGATTCAAATGGACACAAACACTTAATTTAGATACTTGATCACTTCACTTTTACTTATATTATTAGTTATTGCTTTGTCATACATTTCTTTAACAACTTCAATGTACCTCTGAAATTCCCTTTTCTTCCTAATAATTCAACTAAATTTATTTTTTGGGTATTCGATCAAATTCTGAAGTGCCATTTCGCTTTTGTTGGATTTTTATGGTAGTTTGTAGAAGCCATAATTTCCTAATATGAACTTAGTTTGCTCATGGAGAAGGCAGGGTATAATTAATAAATGAGTTTTTACATACATAATAAACATTGTGTTCTCTCTTTATGATATGAATTCATTCAGCATGTTCAACGAATGCTCTTGAATGACTTTTTTTTTTTTCCTGAAAATGATGGTTTTAGAAAGCAGCATTTCACATATGATGTGCTACTTTCTCAATGTTGTTCTATGTATGTGGGTTCTCAGTATTGTCAAAATCTTTCTTTCACTAGAAGAATTGTTCCTTTGTCGTTTAACTTGATGGCTTAAGGTTTAATATTTTGAGCACCTTCTAATATTCCTTCTGGTGTATTCAAAATGAACGCACATCACCTACTTTTCTTTATACAAAACTTTGTTATGGGTTTTCAATAGCTTGTGGCGTGGAGATGGCCAAGCTTTTTCTATTTCCACTTTCTTTGTAGGAAGTATGGTTCTCTGTTGTGCATAAGGGTCACCATAATGATATTCTTGCGATTTCTCCTTTCTCCCTGTAAATCTTGAGTGGTAGATGGCAGTTTTACCTTAAGTGGATTTTTTTTCTTTAAAGAGCAAACTGTCAATGGTTAAAATATACTTTAGTTGTCTTTGTAATAATGCACACCTTTCTAAGTATTCTTCTACTTAGCTAGAGATTGGGAATTTCTTAGTCAGTAAAACATTTTTCTCATTGACCATCATCTTATTATACCAATTATCATTCATTATTCTAGATTGTTTTTCTAATTTTGCATGGTTATTTCTGATTGACACAGGCAGCTTCGGAAACAGATTATCACCCCAGTCGGATGTCTGTGGTTGCAAAATGTGCTGGGACATTCATCAGGGAGTTTTTTGATCAAAACCCTCTAAGTCATGTTGGGCTTGTAACCATAAAAGATGGTGTTTCTCAGTGCTTAACAGAGCTTGGAGGCTGTCCAGATTCACAGATCAAGGCTCTTATGGGAAAGCTTGAATGCTCAGGAGATGCTTCCCTACAGAATGCTCTTGACCTTGTCCATGGATATCTTTCACAAGTTCCTTCATATGGCCACCGAGAAGTCTTGATCCTCTATTCAGCTCTCAACACCTGTGATCCGGGTGATATAATGGAAACAATTAAACATTGTAAGAAAGCCAAAATAAGGTGCTCTATTGTTGGTCTTTCAGCTGAGATTTACATATGCAAGCATCTGTGTGAGGAGACAGGAGGCTTGTATTCTGTTGCTCTTGATGAGGTAAATCTCATTCCTCTATTGCATTCCCTTCAAAAAAATTTCTATGAGTTTCAATTAAGTGATTGCCTGGTTGTTTAGGACAGCCACACTTCAAGGAATTGCTACTGGAGTATGCACCGCCTCCTCCAGCCATAGCAGAGTATGCTATAGCCAACCTGATTAAAATGGGTTTTCCACAAAGAGGAGCGGAAGGTGCCCTCTCTATATGCTCCTGTCACAGGGAAGCAAAAATAGGTGGTGGCTACACATGTCCTAGATGTAAAGCACGAGTTTGTGAACTCCCATTGGAATGTCGGATATGTGGGCTTACACTTGTTTCTTCTCCACATTTAGCAAGATCTTATCATCACCTATTTCCAGTTACACCATTTAATGATGTGTCACATACCCTTCCTATTAGATTACAGCAGAAGTTTCCACAGAATTGTTTTGGATGCCAGCAAAGTCTTATAAGCCATGGTATGCTTTTTTTATTTTTTTCTTTCATATGTTATGCATTTGGTCATGATTATTCGACAAGTTTTACGCTTGCTGTCGACTACCTAACGCAACTCTTCATTTTTCTCATCCAAGACTTGGGACCTGGCAACGACAGTGTTAAAAAAAAAATATAGACCTAGTGAGGGGATTGTTACTTTGGGCGATCAAGTCATTAATAAGATTACACATTTTAAATATCTTGGATCTATTGTTCAGAGTGATGGTCAAATAGATGGGGATATTATCAACAAAATTCAAGTTAGATGGTTGAAGTGGAGGAATGCATCGGGCTTGTTGTGCGATAGAAAAGTCCCCCACAAACTTAAGGGAAAATTCTATAAGATGGTGGTGAGACCTGCAATGCTTTATGGTGCTGAATGTTGGCCATTAAAAGAGAAGCATAATACCAAGTTAAGTGTTGTAGAGATGAGGATGCTTAGGTGGATGAGTGGCTTTACCCTTAGAGATAGGATACGAAATGAGCATATACGTGATAAAGTTGGAGTAGCTCTAGTGGAAGTAAGATTAGAGAGAGCCACTTAGCCGCTTTAGATAGTTTGGTCACATTAAACGGAGGCCTTCCGATGACCCGGTTCGGAAAGTTGAGGTATTATATTTGACTTATGTTAAAAAAGGTAGAGGTAGACCTAAAATGACTTGGTTAGAAAAAATTTTGAAATGATCTTTCTTTATAAGATTTAAATGAAAATTTGACTTCTAACATGACTCAATGGCGAAAAAGGATTTATGTAGCTGACCCCACGTAGTGAGACAAAGTCTTGATGTTGTTGTATGTTCTACATTTGGCATGACCATGTATTATCCAATGTGTATATATCTGTGTAACCATCCGCAAAAAAAATAAAAAATAGAAAGAAGCTAAAACTTTTTTCTTGATAGAGGCTTGCGTAGAAATTCAATAAATTAGTGGATATGATATTATTGCTTTGATAGATGAATCAATTTCATTCCTCTGGGAGGGCTACTACTCTGTTGTGAATGAGCATGGTTATTCTAGTCAAGTATTGACAGCAATAATTCATTTTGCGTGCAACTTCATCAGTAACATGAAAATATTTCCTATTTACATAAATAATGCAAAAGTGCTTCTATTCACAATATGACTATTCATGCATCGAAGAGCTCAACCAAAGAACTTTCATTTTCAACGACTTGTAAAATTCTTAATTGTATCCCATGTAAATGCATATGTTTTGTAGTTTATTTTAAAAACTTTGAGTTTTTATTTTATTGCTAATGAATACTTACCTAGCCAATTTGAAGTTCCTGTTTTCAATCTGGTGTTTAGTTTTAATTTGATAACAGAATATTTGTATTAACTGCTGCGAGCTAACAAATCATTTTGGGCTATGTGCTAATGTGTACATGCATTCAAGATTGGAGAATGGTGGGAATTGAACTCACACATGGTGGATTCACAATCAATTGTATTTAAAAAAGTGCATTTATCAAAGTTTGATAGTGTTCGAGCCACCTCTGTGAAATTTGAGTTTTCCTGTACTCCAAGAACTGAAACAAAAAAATTTCAGAGAAGAGGAGATAAATTGACAAGGAAATCTTTTCAGCTCTGTTTCATTAATGAATTCATTATGTATGAGTGTTCTTTATTACTACGTAACTAACATTCTTGTATGCGACCAACTACTAACTGTCTAACAGCCCATCAACAATCTTTCCTTCTATGGTTGAGCTTATTCTCGGCAAATTCATTTAATGTATAAATCTACCATCTCGTTTGGCATTTTTTTACCAGAGAAATGCAGCATTGTGATGAGCTTGGAAGGTTGACTGCATTACTCTTCTCACTAAGAACGATCATTGTCCTAAAGGTTGAAGTTACGGTTAAGTGACTAGATCTTCCAAAAAATTTCAAGAGCATCCTCGGATAATAATCCTTCCCAAATGAATTATGAATTATAAGGCTAGCCAGTTCTTGTGTAAATTGTTTGCGGATTCAACGCTGCCCAATGTGGCACCGATGGTTGGCCTCCTCATTAGGCAATGTTGTTAGTATTTTAGGTGTAAGTTGGAGTCTTCTTAAAAGGGTTTAAGATGTTAAACATATAAATAGGGTGCAGCTTAACTATTTCTCAATAGTCCCTGTTTATACGCATCTGTGCCAGTCTTCACCTTAATTGAAGGAGGTCCATGAAAGAAACAATTAAGCTTGATAGAGTGTTGATCAATGATTAATGTTTTGTCTATAAGGTTGCCGCTTCACCAAAATTCAATTGTAAACATTGAATTTAACACCGTCGTTCTCCATTTATGTAACTAATAAAATATCCTCTCATTTTCGATATAAATTATCATTAACTCGTAAATGTGTTAATATTCTAAATCTAATGTATATCATAATTTAATTTATTACAATCTCTTATATTCTTCCATTAATAAATTCTAATAATAAATTTCGACTTAAAATAAATTATAATTATCCTTTATTAAAACTCTAATAACATTCTACATATATACATTTTAAATATATCAAAATTTTATTTTAAAAAATCAATTTTCTTATTTTAATATATTTTTATAACTCAATATTTCATGAATCAATTTGTCTCATATCCTTTTCTTATCAAAATAAATTTAATTAAATAATATATAATTTCTTTAAAACTAACCTTCCCCTTCGTTTTCAATTTGCCCAAAGAGTCTTGCCTTTGCTTGTGTTGGTGCACTCGCTCGACTCTTTGACCATTCTTGCTCAAACTCCCTCGGTCTCATTCCTCCTCTTCTCTAATTTATAAAGACAAAGCCAACGACGGAAATGGCCCTAACCCATCATTTTCCACAACACCAAAAGGAAGAAGCGAGCTCTACATCTTCTGCTTCCTGCGATCTGGACCGTTCGCGACACCACACGATCCAAACAGCCCCCGAGTGCCTTTGTCTTCCTTATCTCTTTCGGCTTCCTCAACTCCTTCGGCTTCTAGGCAATGTAAAGCGGCGCACTTGCTTTGTATTCGATAGAAGATTCCTACGACGCCTTCACCTTCTTGGTCCTCTTGGTATTCTCATAGCTCCAAGTAAAGAAAGCATGTTCCATTCGCTTTATCTTCTTCATATTCTTCATATTGTTGAACCCTAGGTTCGAGATATTACATTTAAGATGGCAAAAATTGTCTACAAGAAGCTTTGGAATGGTTCCTATTTCAATTAGGACAGTAGCAGTGGCAAGATAAGCTCATCAATTTAGGGAAATCAACTAGTTAGACAATGGAACTCTTGAGCATGTGGTTTATCTCCAATAGTTGATGAGAAGAAAGTCAGAACTGCACTTGATAAAATTTATTATTTCATTGTTTTGAAATACAAGAATGGCAAGCTAGGTGTTGTTAATGGGTTGAGACTTATCGGCAGAAGACACTAGTTAGGAGGAATGAGAAATTGTCCACAAAATACTTTGGGCCTTATGAGTTTTTGGAACCCATTGGAGCAATGGCCTATCGACTAGGATTACCACCTTCGTTAGAATTGCACCCAATATTTCATGTCTCATTGCTAATAAGGCATGAGATAGGAGATCACACACTGTCTTCACTGCCACCAACTTTGATAGAAGACAATGTCATTTTGGAACCCCTGGAAGTAGAAGAAGGGGCGTGCTGAGGGGAAACACGAGCACATTAGATACTTATCAAGTAGAATGATTTGCTGGAGTACGAAGCCACATGAGATGATAAGGAGACAGTTCTTATTCATTCCACCTTGAGGACAAGGTGCATCTTTGGGAGGGGGGAGTATTGATATGCTAGGGGGAGCTGTTTAGGAAGGTTCCTAATCAAGAGAAAATTGTTTAGGATGGTTTCTAATTAAGAGGGAGTTTTTAAGAAGGTTCCTAATCAAGGGGGGGCTATTTAGGAAAGTTCTTAATTAAGGGGGAATTATTTAGGAAAGTTCCTAATCAAGGGGGAGCTGTTTATGAAGATTCCTAATCAAAGGAGAGCTGTTTAGGAAGGTTTCCTAATTGTGTTTATGATATTTAGGAAGGGTTTAATTATTTAGGAAGGTTTCCTAATTGTGTTTATGCTCTTTTTTTTAAGCTAAGCAAAATGCATTAAAATTGGAAAATAAAATAACAAAGCAACCTATGTGATAAAATCCTATCACAATCCTTCCTTATCAAGTCAACAAAACATGAAAGAAGATCACTAAAAACAAAAGAATCCAAAAAAAATCTCCATGGAGGTCATATTTAGAACAAGCATCAGCCACTCCATTACTCTCTCTTGAAACAAAATGAAACTTTACATTATGAAAACATCTAAAAAAGAGAAATCTAGCCTTCGAATCTTCTTCATCTGATTATTGCTTCTCATTAATGAATCTTGCGAAAGAGTAAAATCATTTTTTGTTATCACATTCTATAATAATACCAAGTTTATCCGTCATCAAGTTTTGAATAACTTTTTTGAAATAAAAAACTCCTAATAACTCCATTAACGAAAAGTCCCAATGTTTTAATTGTTGTGGATCTATGGCTTATGATTTTGATGATAGCAAACATTCTTTTTTTATATGACTACTTTCTACTAACATTTCAGGTTCACACGATCGGACCGTAATTTGGAATCAGCTCAAGATTGGGTTGACTAGGTCTGAGTCAGTTTGTACACTTTTTCCTTTCTTGAGTCTATTGTATTTGTTGTGGCTCTTGATGCTTTGTAACATATAAGAGTTTCTGACTGTTCCCTAGAGTTTACTGTTTTTGATAACATCGTCCTGTACAATATTTATATCGGCCGGGACGATCTGTTCAAAAGCTGAAACCCTAATTAGGGCATCCTCATTAAAGTAGCCGTCATTATGCAAAACACATCGTCCTGGACGATTTTGTATCGGTCAGGACGATAGGCTCAATTCAGAAAGAATCTGCCGCCATATCTACTTAGGAAATTCTTATTTTTGGTTATCGGCCTGGTGGATCGGCCTGGACTATAAAATATCGGCCA